TATATTTATATATAAAATACTATTTACTTATTTATAAATATGTAACACGCGCGCGCGCGCGCGCGCACACACACATACACACACACACACACACACACACACACACACAGAGAGAGAGAGAGGGTGAATCAGAGTCGTTGTATCAGCTTTTTACCCGATGTAAAAATAATTGGCACACATTATAATTTAATTAATAGGTATGAAGTCGATAATTTTTTCATAGAGTAAAAAGTTGGTTCAACGACTCTGATTCATCCTATATATTGTTTATACAGGGTGTCTGGAAATAATCGCAAATATTTCATAGGCAGATAGAGCGGACTAAACTGAGTCGAAAAGTCCTCTACCATTTTGTAAATTTCCCCAATAATTAATGAGATGTTAATCCTTAAAGATAGCCGAATACGTGCACTCGCCCGCCTACTACTGCGAAGTATATGCCTACTGATCGCTTAGCGCGCGGGGAGTTTGGGATTGACTGGCAAGCGCCCCTCGCCGCACACTGCCGCAAGCTACCACAGCTCGGACGGCTTGCCAGGCTATCCTCGCTCCCCATGGCCCGCGCGCCAAACGATCGGTAGGCGTATACATTTCACAGTAGTACTCGGCTATCTTTAAGAATTAATATCTCGTTAACTATTGGGGAAATTTATAAAATGATAAAGGACTTTTTGACTCAGTTTAGTCTGCTCTACCTGCCCATGAAATATTTGGCAATTAATTCCAGATACCCTGTATAAATATTAAGCATTATATTACTTACATACCGATTGTTAATAATTAAAATTATGGAAAAAGAATTGATATTAATATAAGATCTGCTTTATTTTTAGAAAATAAAATTTTAATTTTTATCCTTATGTTTCTAGTACATAAATATGTATTTTTTTCAGTTTGCACGTCAATACAGTAAAAATAATGCAATAACATTCAACTGGTTATGCCAACACATTGGATGGCCCTTTCAAATGCCAAGAACTATCATCGATCTAGCCCATTTGGAAGGCGTCTTTGATGTATTAGACCTTTATTTATGGCTAAGGTATAATGAGATTGTATTATTCTTAATTATGTTTCATTGTTTTTTTGACGTTTTTATTTTCCTTATCTTATATTCTATAGTTATCGTTTCATGGACCTATTCCCGGATGCTGAAATGATCCGTGACATTCAGAAGGAACTCGATGCACTCATCGAGGCAGGAATAATTAAATTAACAACTTTATTGTTCAATTCGGAAGCAGGTAAATGTGATTTTTTTTTAAACATAAAATATTTATAATATAATTTAAAATCTTCTGCGCATAGAAATATAAGTTTGTGTTGGTTGTGCGTACGTGCGTGCGTGTAATTGTATGTTACATCAAATTTGATTTATAATAATTGTGAAATATTTAACACAAAAAAAATTTTTTTTTTAGGTGAAGAAGCCGATAGTTTCGAGTTGCAGACGCAAAAGCAAAATTTCTATAGAGGTAAATCCTTTTATCATAATGCATAAAAAAACAACTCAATTGCTTGATGCTTGAATGCTAAATTATACATCCAATGATTTTTAGATTTTAAAGGAACTGGTAAACGTGGTGTAGGTAAAGGTAAATTGACTGAAAGATTAATAACGGAAGGACTCTTAACGCCACAAATGTTACGTGAACTACAACACGAATGGATTGTGTCAACAAAAAAGAAAAAATAATAAAACTATATGCATAGAAATGAAATATTAAAGGAAATTCTTTTATTGTGACCAATATAATTGTGAATGAAAAAAGTTTAATTAAGTTGATATAATATGAATAATGATATTAATTCTTTAAGAGTATTTTAATTTATTATAAATAATAGCATTGTTACAACTTTGTAAAAATCATGTCATTATAAGTATTTTCATATTTAGTGTATTGTTTTTATGTATTCTTTATGTATTCATGTACATATACAAATGTATCCTTTTCGAAAATAAAATTTACAGAGCACAAAGTTTATGCACATATATATACACACACACACACACACACACACACACACACACACACACAATATATATAAAAACTATTTTTCCTGTAAAAAAATGTCTATTTTTAGTTCATATATAAATTATGTACTCTACAGATTTTATTTTTGTAAATCGTTACATATATATTGAGTATTGATAAAATATATTGAAGATTCTTTTCTCTTTCTCATTTTATATATTAAATAAATACCTATATTTATTTTAATCGATCATAATTTATTTTGAAATGTAGGACAAATAATGAATTACATATATTTATTTATTAATATTAAATTATTAAAATAATTAGAAAAGAAATTTTTGATATGTTTTAAAAATGTATATTATTGAATGTAACTGTCATATGAAAAAATTAATTTTAATATATAATGTACGTAATATAAAATTTTTGTTTACTTTGGCTTATTCATGGAAGGACCTCGGGTGTGTTCTTGCGCATATATTTATAATAGCCAGAACATAATATCATATCCTGTATTGTGACGGTATATTTGAATTAGATATTGTTATTATTATTTTACTTATTTTTGTATTTCTAATTATATTTGCTTACTATATGTAATATATAATATATAGGATTCCCGGTGAGACTGTAATAATATTTCACAAGAAGATAGATGGAATTAAATTGAGTCGAAAAGTTCTCTGCCATTTTGCAATTTTTGCAATAGTTCAGGTATTAATTACTAAATATCGCTGAATATTTCAATAATTTTTTCCGAATTTACTCAAATACTATTAACTTTATAGAAAAACAGTGAGAGACAAAAATTTTTGTTTATTTTCTTTCGTAAAATTCTGAGAATTTTTTCCGAATTTTTTAATATCGTATTTTCTCATGTTAGTAAAAATAATTGCCAATATATAAGAAAATACAGTACTAAAAAGTTGATAATAAATTCTGAAAAGATTTTCAGAACTTTATGAGAAGAAAATAAATAATTTTTATTTCTCACTGATTTTCTATAAAGTTGATAATATTTGAATAAAACATTATTGAAAATCAATATTCAGCGATATTTAATAATTAATGTCTTGTTAATTATTACGAAAATTGCAAAATGGTAGAGGATTTTTCGATTCGGTTTAATACCATCTACCTTCCTGTAAATTATTGCTAGAGTCCGGACACCCGGTATAACTATTACCATTATAAAAGCACTTCCTCTAAGAAAACTTTCCAGAACCAGATAATATAAAATTTATTTCAGCAATAAATATGTACGTATAATGATCCTACAGATCATTTAAAAGTATTTCATGCGAATGTGATAATAAAATGATAAATTACTACTAATTTAAACTTAGATTATAAGTATTTTATAAAAAAAGCTGCGCTTGGCTTAGCGAGATACTACCGTGATATCTCCAGACATAACACACAGAGAACATATGCGATTTTTGTTTAAATTTTAGTTTTTCCAATTTTTGTATTATTTTTCCAAAGTTTATATTAATTTTATCAAGCCAATATCAATATATTGGTATTAGCTTGATAAAAATATTTCTTTATTTCCCAGCAAACGAGAATAGATTGAAATAAATTGAAATGGATTCAGATTTTCAAAAATATTTATTCACGAATGTTAAAATGAATGCTTTTCAATCCTGAATGCATTTTTATTCATTTATAGAAATTACATGGAGCATATTTATGCCTTTCAATCTAAAAATAATATTAATTTTTTTGCGCATTGTGAATACTATTCAATTCAAAATTTTGAATAGGAAATGCAGTTTTTCAATCTAATTGCATCTAAATGAATCCAATTAAATCCAAAAAAAGTATTCGCTATTTAAAATACGCATTCGGATAGAAAAAAATTTCAATCCATTTTAATCCATTCTCGTTTGTTGGGAACATTCCATGGCACAATTTCATTCATTAATTTCCTATAACAATTATTGCTTTAAACAATTACTCAACCTGCATACTATTATTCAACAGACGATTTTCATTTTTGCTTTTTTATTTGTTAAATACAACATTATCAAATAAAAAATTATTTAATGTGAAAATATATATCGATAGAGGAATATATGTTTATAATTTATATTCCTCTGTGTGCGCGCGCGCGTGTGTGTGTGTGTGTGTGTGCGTATATGTCGATTTTAACTTTAAAAACTATTATCTTATAGCAATAAATTCTCCTTAGATACAATTTCTCCACTTTCTCTTACAGAAATTATTATAGACAAAATAGATAAATACATACCTTATTTTCTTTACATAAATATTATTAAATTTTAGAAAAATGATATTTAAATAATGAAAAATTTTATTATAAATATATCTCTAGATAATATTTT